AAAAATGTCTGGGATTGTGGATATGTGGACTAGTGAGCTAGCCAGGTTAAGGGAAAAGGGTCAAGCCATTTGGTCGTCAAGTGGCTCGGCTCCAACCAGTCAGGAAGCGTCTGAGCAGAAGATTGGCAGATCCAAGTGGTGGAAACCTGACGGCTTTGGTCAAGCCTTGCAAGCCAAGAAGCTTCCGTCTATGCAATTGTCTGACGATGCAGTCTCCATGCTTTTGGATAACTTGAGTGCTTAAAATAAGGAATTACAGAATGAAATAATTGCTGTTTGCTTCTTTTCTCGTTTTTTTGCTTCATTTTGGCTGTGTGTTTCTTTACGAGTTTCATGAGTGTTGTCATATTAATTAATGTAAATTAATAGAATCTAGTTTTTTTATCAATGATTTTACATATTCTGTGTGAATTGCTTTGGTCAATTGCTTTGTAATATTATGTTGGATGTATCTTTGAACTAGACACTGTTATAAATTGAAATCTTCCATGTTCTTTAAGCATTCATCAATCCACTTATCATTGGTGTTTTTCCTTTTTTTTTTATAAGGTTTACAAAATAGAAACACAAACCTATTATCACATAGCAAATGGGCTAAAGGCTCAATTTATATTTTAGTAATTTTTATATATTAATATATTCATAACATTCGCCCTTGGACATTAATACATGCCTTATTATTGAAAACATCGCTAATATAAACCATTGCTAATATATTCATCACATAGTAATTATTTTTTAATTTATTTTTTTATTTTTTTTAAGAAACACTCCAAAGGGTGGGAGATTAAGACCGGATCCCCAATCTCTATATAGTAAAAACTCTAAAGGGATCGAGGTAAACAAATGTCTACACATGTACAACCAAACACAGAAAACAAAAACGGGAAAAGAAAAAAAAAACCGAATATGAGAGGTTGAACCTCGGCTGGAAGGAGCCCAGACGAGCAGTCCCTACAAAATGGCCCGAAATCCAGAAAAATACACAAAATACTAATTAAAAGCTAGCAAAATATGAACGA